GCTCTGACCCGCACAACAGCAAAACTCATAAAGCAATTTGAAGTAAACAAAACAGATTCTGACACGTTCGCAGGCGCCAACTGCGACTTGAGCGCGAATAAACGGTAAACAAAGCATCAGGAAAATCCCCCGAAACAGTGATCGGCTTGGCCGACTAGTCGGCCTCTTTACAACCGACTAGTCGGCTAATCGGCCTAAGTCGTAGTCGGCACATCTCTAATATTTAGGTACGTTTTTCCTTTTCGTAATGCTGTTGTAACTTGGGAGTCTGATTCTGTAGAAAAAATTATAAAAACTGTGTGCATCGTTGTGCAATTTTCTATTTTTCTTTGTCCAACCGACTTCTGAAATACTCTATTAACACTATATATTTGAAAATATTTAAATTTCAAATAAAATGTGGTTTAAAATGAAACACGCCAATCAGATATAAAAATTTATATTATAGGAAATATTTTGGATTCAACAACAACTCCCCGCAGTCTGCGCCCTCGTCTTGATACATGGCACTCGTAGACTAACGACCGTACATATTCATGCTATACGTTCAAAGTTAACTTGAATTAAATTTAACAAATTTAAATCATGAAAACTTTAAATAAAAAAGAACTTAATCATAGTAAAATACGCTTTTTCATAACGACATTTCATAATAATTGTCAAAGTAAAACCGAACGAAACTTAAATTACGCAAGTTGCAATCAATGCAGTATCAAAATGACGTAACCAAACTATGGAGACGGCTTCGCAACCAAAAACCATAGACAAAAAAAAACTAGAGATTTAATAATATCCTAGCATGAATATCAAAAAATATAAAAGAAAGCGTCAAGACGAAGGCGTCAACTGTTTGGCAGCACATTATTTCGTTGTCAACAATCGCAACTCGAGGTCATAACCAGTATCAGACTTATCACAAAGCGATCTGTTGATCCCTCGACGCAGGAAAGAAAAAAAAACATCATTTTTTTTTATTTATTCACTGTTTTTCGCCTAACTATTAACTAGACTTAATTTAACACTCACACTTTCACTCACAGACTGTTCTTTTTATACTACAAGAGCTCATTTTTTACAGTGGGGTTGATCAATTCCATAATTGCTTTCAAAGCAGCGAAGGCAATTTATTACTATATATACCTATCGACCAATAAACAGCGGACAGCATTTCGTGTATCGCTTAAACTCTAATACGCGTGTGGAATTGACCGGGCCCCTCACATTACATTATATCACCTATACAAGTTTAACACGACGCCCGTTCAAAATTAAAGTGGCCTATCTCAAAACAATATGGTGAACAATTGGAATTTACTCTATTTTTTAATTAATAAAAAGACATTTTTATAAAAATATACACCTATTATTGTGTTCTAGTATAGAAAACAAAAAAGAAAAAAAAAACGAAAAAAAAGTCACGACTTAGGCCACTTTAATTCCAAACGAAAGTATGTATCGGGAGTATACAAGCGACAAGCGACTGATGTTACATTATAAACGCCAATAATATGCGTAGAACCTTGTCACAGTCACCGACGCGTTACAGTTTAATACAAATCCTTACAAACAAACATACCGTTCATTTATTGTGACACAGTTCCAACAGCATATTTAAACGTCCAACAAGATTACCTCAAATCGAACGTATACCAACCAACAACTCTTAAAAAAAACAAATCAATACAAAATTTCATTTTCAAAACATAATCTTAGGTGATTTACGTACAATATTTATAACTGTATGGTACAGTGTTGTCTCGTAATACCTATTACTTAAAAATCCAAAATCACCACACATTCGTTTATTTACAAACTTTTCAAATATTAATAATGAACTAAAACGTAGAACGGATGTAAGTAATGTATGCCCCCACAAATACCCAACGACGATTAGATTATATTAATCGATTGCTTATTTCACATTCCTCTTATACATAACATATCAAATCTTTCATAAATTTCTGCCCTCTTTACAAATTTCAAGACTGACAAACATCTATGTATATGCAACATATATAATTTATAAAGCACGTGATTCACAGCCAACTAACTCGACAAGTCGGTCAAACGAAAAGTGTTGCCATATATTAAAATCTATATGACGTTACACAACCTTAGCATGGCAACTCAGCATTATAAACATGATTTTCAAGAGAACTAAACAATAATGATTTCATTTCTCATTATATTTGCAAGCAATTTATAAAACTTAAAAGGATTCTATCTAATCTGAATAATATTTAAATTGTATTCGAAAATAATGTAAGTAAAAATATGCATTTTTTTCAATGTTTTTTTGAGGGCAGAAATATAACAATTTTTAAGCCATCATCAACATAAGGGTGGTAACACCTCAGAAAAACGATCACAAAGACTAAAAAAATACATAATAAATAAAAAAAGAACGATTAACAAAAAAAACTTTGCGTTACAGTAAGGCACGGGTAAAAAAATTATAAAAAACCCGATATAACCTTAGGCGTTTCACTTTACGTATACAATCGTCACAATTGATTTAAAAAGTATTTTCATAACAAACCTAATGGAGGTTTTCCCCCATATTTTGTTAATAAAAAAATACTAAATGAGTCAAATACAGATAGACGGTGGAATTCTTAAACAATGGATAGATGCTTAATGTTATCGCAAAGGTTCTATGGCTAAATTTTGGCTTCGGGTACCCTTTGAAGTCCCACATCCCATTCAATACCAATATTTGGACTGGCAACACTGACATATGAAATATATATTATTATCTGTGCAATTTTTAGTCTATACATTCCAAACGTCACTTGATATCGATCGATAATTCTAACTAATCTCATTCCATGGGTCAAGCGACCATGTATTTTCCCATTTAACAAATAAATACTTAAATATCGCTTAGAACCTTAAGTATGAAAGCGTATAAATTATATGTGTTCGAATAACGGCCTTAGTACCTAGCGATACAGACTATATGTTTGTTAAAGAAAGCTATAAATTCATTGGACGTATTTTACATTAGTATATTGACATATTACGATTTAATCTCTTATATGAAATATATATTTTGGAAGACTAAGCTCTAAAAATGTGTTTTGTATAATGTTATTTTATATACAGAGACACATTAAAATTATATTGTAACGGCCATATTGTCTATTGCTTTAATTCTAGTTTGAAATATCATTGTTATTAATTGGAATGCGCTGTTGTAAAAAAGAAATAAAGATTTCCATATAAAAATGGCAACAGAAAAAAAATCAAAAAATTCAAATACAAGATGGAAAAGCTAAAAACGAACATTTTGAGCCATATACAATATTACCTAATTTTTTTTTAAATCCAGATCCAAAAACAGTGTCTACATTTTTATATTATATATATTTGGTATGCACGGTGGTATTTATTTCTTATGAAAAAATATTTTAAATAACAAACATACAGCCTGATTCATTTTAACAGTATAGCGAGGGTAGGTGTCTGTGATAGTGAGTGTGTGATGCTTTGATAGAAATGGCTTTTGATTTTTTATACATTTTTTTTTAATTTTTCCACCTGGCTCTAGGCATAGACAAAAGTGAATAAAAAAAAATTGAAACTTTCACTGACATCTACCCCTGTTTGTAACATGACAACTCGTCTTATTCTAGCCTATGGCAAGGAGGACATCTTTTCTGTTTAAATAAAATTCGCTATAGTCTATATGGTTATAATTTCAATAGGATATTTTTTTACTGTTTTTGTTTTGTATTTTTAGGCAGTATTTTGAAACAATTTATTTTAGTTTTGTTTTTAGTTTGAAAAATTTGTTAAAATAAATTTTATTTTTGTATATGACAACTAAGTACTAAATAATATTTAATTTATTCAACTTTATCATTTTTTCTAGAAATTCCAATAATTTCTTTTTACTCCACATAAAAAGTTTAATCCAATTCCAAGTAACCATCTCTCATATTAATGATTATCAAATCATTAATTTATAATTCTAATTATTGCTCATATATAGAAAAAGTTTTCAACTTTTATAAAATTGCCAACATTTTCTTAACAAAACTGACAGCATCATCAAAATCTGTACAGTAGTTTAACAAAATATTGTTAAAACAAAAAAATACTATGAAATTTACCATAACATTAATTATTCATAAGCCGCATTTTCAAGGTACTTAGTTGTCGATTAACAATTTCTCTTCAAATTTCTTTATAAAAATGCCGAAATTGAGGTTCCTTTAATATTTAATTAAAGGAATATTTTTAATTGTCTGAAAGAGCAGTCATGACTAACCTTTATTCAACCGCATTTTTTATGATGGATAAATAAATATTAAAAATATATGTATTTTTTCTATTTGAAGTAAAATATATTTCGTTATATGTTTCATGTTTCATTTAAATATCAACATGGTAACTCAATTTTGTGTGATGAATTTCCCAAATAAGATAAGGGCATAATTTAAGTAAGCAACACTCTTATGTTAATGTATATATTATAAATATTAAAGTGTCTGTTTGTAATATCAAAATAAAAGCTTTTTACTAAATGCTTATGAAATTATATACAGTACTTACAAGAAAAACATATTTTTTTAATTTTGTCTGTCTGTTTCTTCCGGCTTATCACCTAAACGCATGGACCGATTTTGACAGGACTTTCACTTGCAGATAGCTGATGTTATAAGGAGTAACTTAGGTTACTTTGATTTTATATTTGATTAGAGAAAGAATTAGGGTCCTATGGTAGCTAGGAACTATTAGAATATGCATATATTATCTGTGACAAACAAAAAAAAACTGAGTCACCATGTTACCTAATAAATATAAAAAAAAACTTTAATTAACCTGACTGCATTTATATTCCAAATAATATTTGCCTTTCACCCAAACAGAAACTAAACTGATACTGCATGAAAATATAAAATTGGTGTAACTTTGAATGATAAATTGTGTATTATTCGTCAGAAATAACTATATATATGTACGTATGTCCTCTCTCACCGTCGTATCGTCCGCTAGAATTTATCCTGGAATATGAACAGATTGTTGGTCGCCGCTACCGCTATGACGCTTTCGTGTGGATGCCACGCCGTGTGCAGTATTTTCTTGTTGAAATCCAAACAGTCTACACTTATTTCGTCCTAAAATCAAAAATAATCTTTATATATATAATTCTTCTGTGAGTGTGTATGTCACTGAACTTCTCTCAAACGATTTCGATTCACAATTTGAATAATAATTTTCATAAAAAAATTTATTAAAAAAAGTTTGAAATTTTCAAATTAAAGACGTGTAGACAGGACAACGTCTGTCGGGTCCGCTAGTATCATTATAATACTATACTTATTTTTATTGTCTTCGTTAAGGTTTTTCTTTCATGACTTCTCTTCTTTTATCTTTTATTAGTATGTTTTTTTTATTAATTATTAGGTATTTTTGATGTATAGGTGGTATAATAAAAATAAAAAAGTAATAGTCAAAGTTGCCATTTTCAAAAATCATAACTGTCAAGCTGAATTCTCATGAGTAGACGTTTTGAGGGGACTCCTAAGTTATTCTCTATAAACAGCTTATAAAGAGATTACAAATATAAAACAACTATAATGATCTCTAAACATCTCTAAGAATGTATGTATTGGGAACTAACTTGAGGTAAAACATTGTTAAGCAACTTGCATATATCAAAGAACCTAACTAGTTCTCAAAATACAAGTGACCATCAACCCACACTCGGCCAGCGTGGTGGACTATGGCCTGATTCCCCTCGTACTGAAGAAGCTAGGTACGTTTTATATAGATAGAAATAGTTATTAGCCAGCGTTAGCCACATTAATTTTAATTTTTTTTCGTTAATTTTTCTGATGTTTTAATTACTCATGTTTTGTCCTATTCCAGACTAAGAGAAATCCAAAAAATCTAATATTATCATAAAAGTTGGTCCAGCCGTTCTTGAGTTAGAAATGGTGTAACTAACGCGACTTTGTTTCATATATACATATACCAGCAGAACCCGCGGCTTCGGTCGAGCTAAAACTACAGAATAATAGGTTTCATACAAACTTTCACCCCCTTAACTTACACCCTTATAAGATGAATTTCGAAAAACGCTAAAATACGTATTTATTTAATTGTATTGAAGAGCATTAATACCCAGTTTCAAGTAATTCTGTATATAATTTTTTTTTGGGTTGTATTATAACGTGTTTTCCCGTGGGAATGAGATTAAAGTAAAAAGTAGCCTACGTCACTATCTAGCCCTCGCACTATGTCAACACAAAAAATCACGTCAATTCGTCACTCTGTTTCGACGTGAAAGAAAGACAAACAAACACACTTTCACATTTATAATATTAGTTTGGCAGTATGGATATAGATTTATAGCATACCTTCTTCCTTTTAGCGCTGGCCGCAACCCGTCTCGCACGTAACGGCTGACGCGGTCTCGCCGCCGCATCACGTGACGCCTCCAGGGTTAGCTCGCCGCGCCTAGCGCCCGCGCCCGCACCGCCTCGCTCGAATATTCTAAAAATAAGTAATTAAATAAATAAATAAATATGTTGGGACATTACCACACAGCACCATCTAGTTCCATGGTAAGCTACGTTATAGGCTAGGCCTGTGTTATGGATACCAGATAGTTGATACACTGCACATATATAAACTTTAAATACATACATATTTGATATTATAAATATAAACACCCATGACTGGAGTACAAAAACTCATGCTCATGACACAAATGAATGTCCCCCAGTGGGACTCGAACCGGCGACCGCTGGCGCAGCAAGTAGGGTCACTACAAACTGACCCAAACGTATCGTCTAATTTTATTTATTTCTTGTTTTATAAAAAAACTGAGTTTGTTGTTTATAACTTGTTTTATAATAATAATTATGGTTACTTATAGAATTATATGATTACCTAAAGAATCCATTATAAGAACCAGTCATTAGCCGCTGATCATCACCACTCCAACAGCACTCAAACTTATCGAAGATACAGTCATTCTCGTACAACGAACACAATTTGGAACGAAGGTATTCGTGTACCTAAAATAAAAAATAAAAGAATTACAAAATATTTAAATACGCTACATACATAAATAGCTAAATATTATACTTCCCTAGATTTACGCGAATATTTGATATTTAAATGAAATGTTTTAGAAATTTTTCGCGAATTTATTTTGATTATTTGTTCTCGACGTTTCGAATGCATAAATCATGATCGTGGGAGAGAAAAGGTAGTTTTATTTAAAATTCTTACTTAATTATAATTTATAAATGTGAAACCCTAAAGTTTGTCTGTCTTTTGCTTTTACACGCTAAAACCTATATATGTATGTATATATATATATATATATATATATATATATATATATATATATATATATATATATATATATATATATATATATTGGTGAAATTTGACAAGAACATAAATGTATTCAGGGCAGACATGACATATCCATGCCATGGGCAGAAACTAATATTTAAATACATATTATGTAGTAAGTAATATATATATAATATAGATTATAATAAATTAATTCATATGGTAAATATGCAAACCCCATAAATTATAGACATGGTTATTACAAATAAATACATACATACATATATGTATGTCCCAAAGAAGGTTATAAAACCACCATATACAACTTGTACACCGATATGGCAGGTGTCATTAAAGCAAAACAAATATTTTATTTACTCACTGGATATGTTTCTACAGGTTTTGTTTCCATTCTAAGATCCCATACTTTTAAACCTAAGTAGTCTCTCGACATCATATATCTGTAAACAAAAACAACTGTTATTATACCTATTCTATATACAATTTATTTATCTATACTAATATTATAAAAAGGAAAGATTTGTTTGTTTGTACCGAATAATCTCCGAAACTACTACACAGATTTGGATGAAATTCCATAAGAAGATAGTTTGAGACCCTGGGAAGGATATAGGATAGTTTTTATCCCAGAAATCATCCCTTAAGGGAGTGAAAATGGGGATGAAAGTTTGTATGGGGAAGCAACCTGGGGACAAACCCGAGCGAAGTGAGTGTGGAGTTGCTATTAATGAATTATTATAATGATTTTGAAATTTATTTTTATTTTGTCATAAACAAAAGTAATTGTATAATATTGTAAACAACTAAAACATTATTTTTAAAGCAAATGTTTGAGTATACGTTGGTCTCTTCTCAGCAGAAACATATACATACAAATTAAAAAAAAAAGTAACCACCCAAAACTACAAAAAGGCCAACAAATTATATATATCTTCACATCTATCTACATAAATAAAAATGAATGTTCGTATATTTGTCCTCTGTGTCCCTAAACTATTGATCCAATTGTGATGAAACTCTGGTGGGTTATTTTGTATACGCCTGCAAAGGTTCCTAGTACAAAAAAATAATCTTTGGACCCCACCCAACTGAAGCAAGGGTAAATCACTAGTTAATAATTATTATTTATAAACAATCAACCAACCTGCCCGAATTGCTTAACTTAACATCGCTGATGGAAGATATGATCTCCGAGAAGAAGGACCTCGCGTGAGGGTCCTCCGGCTCCTCGAACAACTTCGCGTGTCGGTCGCACAGCGCCGCCGCACGCATGTCGCATAACCTTATTGTACCTGTAATATTACTCAAAATGAGTATACCTCAAAATTTAGCTTCATATTAAACTTTTTTATTTTTCGGAATTTTACTTTTACTTGTGCTGTAAGAGACATTACTTTTAACAAAAATTGATAATTCTATGTCAACCGGAAGTTCCATATAGGTTTTGGGTCGAAAACCTGTATGGTAGTTTCCGTTGACCTAGAATCACGAAATTTGGTAAAAAGCAAGGTCTTAACAGCACCAATAAAGGAAAAATTCCAAAAAATAAAATAGTTGGAAATTACAGTTACACAGATTTCCTACAAATTTGTACGGAGCTCTCGGTGGGTGAGTCCGACTGGCACTTGTCCGGAATTTTTAACATTTACAAATAGAAAGATATAAACAAATATACTAAAACATAATGGTTATATAGTATATACATATTAATTTTTTTAAGATCCCACAGCTGGGCATGAGCCTGCATTCTTTTATGTGTACATTATACATATTTAAGTTAATGTTAATTTAATTGCCTTAATGGTCTAGCGGCTTGCATGTCTGACTGCAGACCCCCGAAGGTCCTGGGATCGAGTCTTGGGTCGGGACAAGTTTAGTTATTCGAGTTTTCTGATAAGAAGCTCTAAGTAACATCCCGGAGCTGGGAAGTTGGCGGTGTTTCATCCCTGTGCCGAGAGAGAGCATAGTAGTGAGTCCTAGACCAGAACTCTCACAGCGTATAGAATTATTTAAAGTCTAATTATTGATGAAAACATAGATATACATTTCCACAAATATCTCTTCAAAAAGTGGCTTCGACATGTGACGTTAAGTTAAACCAAAGAATAAAAATCACAAAAATCAATTTCTAATTGTCTAAACACAAATTCGAACTTACGCACACTAAATAAAGTACTTTATCAAAACGAAATAACGTGCGTTTAAAACGCAATTTTGTCATCCGAAAAGTAATGAACAAAAGATTTCAAAAAAGCGCATAATTTGAAATAATGCGCATCTTTTTGAGGACACTTTTGATATGCTAATTATTGCGTATCTTGCTTTAATAAGTCGATGAGTTTAAAAAAGAAAATTCTTATAATATATATTATTTTATATAATATTATTTATTACCACAATAATATCTCCCAGTTATAATGTTAAAATTTAATTATTTAAACAATTCATTAAAAAATAAAACAAATACAAATTTTATAGCACTCACCCTTACTGCTAGAATATACAAAGAGATTACATTCAGTCGGGTGGAACTCTGCCGCGGTTATAACCTGAAACAAATAAAAAAAACAAATAAAAAAAATAAAAAAAAATAATTTCATACATTCAAAAATCTGAACAATTCACATACTAACACTCTTACCCTAGTTACTGTGTATTATTGTACGCATCATTTTTATATACCAGGTTTTGCTCGCGGTTCTACTCGTAATTATATAAAAAAAAGTATAAAATAAAAGTCACTGTGTGTTTCTGTCCATTTTTCGGTTTACTTCACCTTGACCACGCAACGGATTTCGATACGGTTTTCACTAATAGAAAGAGGAATAAAAGAGGAGGCTTTGTGTATATAATTAGTACAAAATGGCTGAACTTAAGACGGTGTTTTGTCAAAAAAACTTTTTACGAACGATTACATGGCTAACGCTGACTAAACGTTTAAGAGATACATCAAAACAATGTACTACAAAATTGTCAGTCTTACAGAAAAGTCCACAACAGTATTATATGTCTATCTCCTAAGGCGCACTCGCAATAATTATTTTTATCTGTCATTCTATTTATTAAAGAAATAAAGATATTTAATATTGATACATTTACTATATACTATTATATCTTGTTATTTAACGAATGATTGACAGTTTATGACAAAGTTATTGAATAGATGCTTCCATATTTAGTTACTTAGTACGGAATAAATTAGCCGATTTGGCTTTACATTAGATCTCACAACTTTCTGCGGTAGAACAAATGCGTCGCGAAACTTGCATTTTTTTACATGTTATGTTTTTGATGTAATATTTAAATCACTGCCTACAAGAAAAGAGCATACAATGAAATTACAAATATACCTAAAAATATATACAAACCAAATGGACACTTAATTATAACTGTACAAGACATATCTAAGGCAAGAATGCTAGCTGGATGAATTCCCCCGCTGAATAAGAATGCTGATTCTTTAGGCGAAAACGAGCCAGCTCTCTTGACTCTTGTCACCAAGTAGAGGCGATAAGACGAGGTGTTGTCTTTTAAAATCCATACTAATATTATAAATGTGAAAGTGTGCTTGTTTGTTTGTTTGTACTTCTTTCACGACGAAACGGATTGGCGTAATTTTTTTGTGTGGAGATAAGTGGGAGGGCTAGAGAGTGACATAGGCTACTTTTTACCGCGGGAAATCATCTAATTCCCACGGGAAAACACGTTATAATACAATCCAAAAAAATATTTATGATCAGAATAACTTGGAACTTGGTATTAATATTCTTCAATACAATTAAATAAATACGTGTTTTAGGATTTTTCGAAATTCATCCCACAAGGGAGTGAAATAGAGTATGAAAGTTTATATGAAACTACCTTTTTAGATTTTTTTGTAGTTTTAGCGCGAGCGAAGCCACGGGTTCTGCTAGTCGTCTATAAAATTAATTTTATCAACAAACCTCAGTGAGTTCCTCCATATTAGCGGGCTTTATGTCCACAATATTGAAGCTCTGGTCGGTGATCTCCAAATGCCAGAGGTTTATGCGGAGATCATCCGCTGAAAGGTAAGTCTCTTGGTCCGAGTTCAAAGAGATTGAGTTTATGTGATAGGTGTGCGCGTTTGCAAATATTCGTCTGAAAACAATTAAAATAACATTAACTATCGAATATAATTTATATACATCAAATAAATATGTTGGAACATTAACACATAGTACCATCTAGTTCCATGGTAAGCTACGAGGTCTGTGTTATGGATACCAAATATTGATACACTACACATATACAACTTTAAATACATACATATTATAAATATTAACACCCATGATTGGAGTACAAACATTCGTGCTCATCACTCAAATGAATGTCCCCAGCGGGACTCGAATACGCGACCGCTGCCTCAGCAAGTACACTATAAGTTTTTATATATGGATAATCTCTGAAACTATTTATCCCATTCTGAATTTTTTTTATTAATAGGAACCTACACTACCCCCGAGTGCTAAAAGTAGGCTATTTTTTATATTAATAAAAATTTAGTTACTGTCAGAAATCTTAATAACTAATGAATTTCGAAAAAAAATAGGCTCATTAGCGTCCGGCAATCTAACCGGGCGCAAAGCCAAGAAACGCACTAGGAGGCGGCCCACCTCGGTGGACGGTGTACCATGCGGGTTGCTTCTGGTACTTCTCTGACAGCAGAGTGGACCTTGGAGCAACCCCATAGTTATTATGGTCTGCTTCGGCAGACTGCCGTCGGGACCGAGTGGATGAGTGCGTAAGTGGTCCTGCAACGCCCCATTAAGACGGGCGAAGTTCTGTTGGGTTTTAGTGGGAAGTACTGACTTTTCTAGCCGGTGAGGCACACATAACCACCTGTATTATTGGATAAAACTAGTATGCCTAAATGCATATCCCAACATTAAAAAAAAGGGTACTAGCGTTAACAATTTGTACAAAATCCCCGCGTGACATTTAGTGTATTGACTGATATATGAACAAACTATATGTCAAGTTGTGTATTAGGAATTTTAAACAATGTAACATAATATCTTATACAATTATTTGTATAAGATATATAGTCAAGTCCAGATCAACAAAGGTTAATTGCTTCCTAGAGACAGGTTCATAGTTTAACTTTAAACGATCGCAAGTTTAGCGACATTCTGAGCAAATAGAACGAAATAAACACTGTTCTTTTATGTTACGGTTTAGAAATATTATAATATTGTAAAAAACTAAATTGCTTTAGTATGTAATCATATATGACTTTTTTTTTCAGACCACTTTTACTGACTTCAAAAAAGAAGGAACTCAAGTTGGTTGAATTTTTATTTTTTTTTATTTGTATGTAATACGCAATATTTTCGCCAGTTGTGAACCCAAAATTTATGAATACTCAGAAAAAAACAGCCCCTTAGGATGAAAAATTTTCAGCGTCGCTTTTTTATTGAAAAGGTAATAATAATTATTATAATCATACTATTAGTCCGAAGAGACTTTTTGTAAGAGTATTTTATATGGCAAGGATACTTCAACTGTCAGAATAAAACATAAGTCTTATGCCCAATTTCACCAACGTCACCTAATTTTAAGAGATCCCCTAAGCATGGTTAGGGTGCTGTTAGGACAGTTTCTGTTTCACCAACAGTTAGGGGTCACCTAAATGTTAAAAGGCCCCCTAAATTTAGGTGCTCGAAATATGGGCTTAAAGACGATGGTAAAACGAAATTTAATTTAGGGGCTAGTATAGGGGAATTTTAAGCTAGGGATCCCATACGTAGGTGGTAGCTTATGGGTTGTTGGTGAAATCGGGCATTAATCATGCATTAGCCCAAAAATTTTCTCTATACAAAAAAAAGCCGCTAAAGCCGTGTAAAATAAGAAGTTACCAACAAATATATATTTAAACTAGCGACTAACCCTCTTTCCCCATACAAACGTTCATCCCTATTTTCACCCCCTAAATGCATGATTTCCGGGATAAAAACTATCCTATTTCCTTTCCCAGGTTCTAAAACTATCTTCTTACCAAATTTCATCTAAATCGGTTCAATAGATCCAGAGATTACCCCCTAAAACGTCACAAACTCACAAACATTAACTATTCATTATATTAGTATAGATTATCTATACATATAATAAAATTGTAACAAAGCCGAATCTGTACATCAAATATTTTTTGGAAAATCTTATTGAAACCAAACATTATTATCGATACAGAGGCCGAATCTATAGTTTTTAGATTTTTTGTCTGTCTATCTGTTATCGCATCACAGGAAAACTACTGGAGGGATTTTGATAAAATTTGGTATGGTGATAGCTGGTTGTCCGGGTCAACATATAGGATACTTTTCACCGCGGGAAAATATCTCATTTCTGAGAAAAAGTACAAAAACTGCAATAAAAGAGTATACTAATATGTAAAACCTAAGAATTTGGTTTTTGGTCCTCTGAACGCGGGCGGAGCCACGGGCAATACTAGTTTGAAATAATAGAAAGAATCATAATACTTTGTTAGATTCACGCGAATATTTGCCTACGTTTGCTATAAAGCATTCAAAACGTCAGGAACCAAAAATCAAAACAAAACCGCTAAGAAATCCAAAAAAAAATAGTTTCATTTAAAAGCATTATCATTATGGCGTACTTCTGAAAAAGTCAATAAACGCTTCGCACGTCAAGTGTAAGCAAATATCGCCTTAATTAAATTAGCGCGGTATCAAAGCAAATATATGGGTGGCATTCGATGATAAGCCCCTATTAAGTTCTTTAGTGGTTTTTTTTTGGCAAATCTGGGTTAATCTTAAAGATAAATAGATATAAACACACGGTGACCCGTTTGGCTCAGTTTGTAGTGACCCTACTTGCTGTGCCAGCGTTTGTGCTTCGAGTCCCGCTGGGGACATCCATTTGTGTGATGAGCACTAATGTTTGTACTCCAGTCATGGGTGTTTATATTTATAATATGTATAGATTTAAAGTTATATATGTGTTTAATTAAGTTAATAGTAAAAATTAAGTAATTAAAATGAAAATTTAAGTAAAAATTTTAATGTTTCTGTGGAATATGAAATGATAATAATAATGTTTTGTTAAGTACGATTTTGTTTCTCTCTTGCATTCAATTGTTACATAAACGAATGACTTAAAAAATCAAACATATAATAGCGACAATAAATAGAATAGACATATCTATACAGATAAATAAAATTGAAGTGTCTGGTTGTAATATCAAAATAATAGTTTTTTTTTTGTAAATGCATATAAAATTATAAGCGGTGTTCATAAAAAACTATTTTAAAAATTTTGTCAGTCTGTTTATTACGGCTAATCTCCGAAACGGCTGGAATGATTTTGACAGTTTCTTTTTAAATACATACACATATAAAATAAAGACACCTTAAAAAAAAGTAAAATGTGTATTAAATACCAATAGAATATAAATTTAAGTCAACATTTTTGTATAAAGAAAATTTTCAGTAAATTAACAGTTTGGACAAATACGCCCCCTGAGAGGAGAAAATGGCAAATATATAATATAACATACCAAACCACCAACCAAACCAACCCACAACACCAAATCCTGTCTACAAATACCACCAAACAAACCAATGCCACAAACTAATAAAAAAAAATCACACATGGTAGAAGTGAAACTTCAGTAAAGCAACCTGCGAGATAATGAGATGAATATAGAGTATCAGGAGTAGGATAATTGTAATGTTTATTTTTTTTATAATATTTTTGCCAATTTTAAAGGTTATTTTACGTTTTAGTTGACATAAATATACATTACATATCTTTCAGTAATTAATTTTATTTTTTTGTCAATACCTATGTTATTTATTCTGTCTCAAATAATTAAATAAGGCATATTAGGCATATTACAATAATATATATCATATACGGAAAAAATATATTATTATATAATTGTCAGACAAACAATGGTTACACTCTCTCGCCGGCTTAAGGTGTCTGCCCACTACACCGTCTCATACCATGACCGTACTATGAACGTATTAGGCATGGAAACGAGCATGGCACGGACCACTAAGCCCACTAGACCGTATCAACAGCGTACCATACCCGTACATAACGGTTTTAGTGCTGCGTATGCTCACCATTGCGCCGCCTACGCGCACCGGTCCCGCGACGCTCCGTAAACGGCACGCGACTGTGCCGGTCCGGTGACAGATCGGTCTAGTGGACAGAGTCTCATACTTCTCAATAAAAACAATATTTTTTTGCCTGACACGGTCCTAGCACGGTCATAGTATGAGACGGTGTAGTGGGCAGACTCCTTTAATCCTGTATATTTATGTGTTTGTTTCTTTTTAGTGTCGCATTTCAGTAACATTTTTATTTTATCGAGTTTCAAATCATAACGATTCTAAAGATGTTTCACTTCAAAAAACAAACAAATGGTTACCTAGGCGACGCCTCCACCATCAGGTCGGCGGGACGCACGGTGGGCACGCGCAGCGACGTGACGCGCGCCGGGTCGCGCGGCCGTCCGCCCTCCTCGCGCGTGTTGTACCCCGTCACGCGCTTGTCCCGCTCCGACACCTGGATATACGTATAAATAATAAATCTATACTAATATTATAAAGAGGTGAAGTTTGTGAGTTTGTGACGTTGTAGGGGGTAATCTCTGGATCTACTGAACCGATTTAGACGAAATTTGATAAGAAGATAGTTTGAAACCCTGGGAAGGACATAGGACATAGCATTTTATCCCGGAAATCATACCTTAAGGTTGTGCAAATGGAGATGAAAGTTTGTATGGGGAATCAACTCAGGAATGAACCCGAGCGAAGTGAGGGTGAGTCGCTAGTAATAAATATTTTGGGTCATTAACACACAGCACCATCTGGTTTCATGGTAAGCTAAGAGGCTCGAGTTATGGATACCAGATAGTTGCACTACACATATATACTTTTTTTTAAATACATTCATATAAATATAAACACCCATGACTGAAGTACAAACATTCGTGTTCATCACACGATTGAATGCCCTCAGCAGGACTCGAACCCGCGACCGCTGGCATACCAAGTAGGGTCACTACAAACTGAGCCAAACGTGTCGTCACGTATTCACGTTTTAATTATTGCAATTCAGCCTTTTTTTAACGTCCCGCTGCTGGAAACGGGCCTCCCTTCAATACGAGGGGGATCAAGCCATAGTCCACTATGCTCAAAATCAAATAAAATACGGGTTGGCACAGGTACGGACTATGAATTTGGGGGGCCCTGAGCTAACACTTGTTGGGGGCTTAAGCTAATTGTTATTTTCTATTTATTAAATCTAATTAGTACTAGACGAAATTAAGATTACACTGTTGTTTCGTTCTTTGTTTGTTATAAGGTCAAATTTTATGGCTTTAATTTTTTAGATATTATTTATTTTATCAATTCACAATATTATCCATAGTTTTCACCAAGGGTCCCGTTATATCTAAGGGGTCGTGTGCTTTAGCACAAAAATCCTACCTCTTGGTTGGCAAACTTCACATGCCTTTCGAAAACTTGCTAAATTCTCTCAGATATGCAGGTTTCCTCACGATGTTTTCCTTTATCATAAGACAAGTGGTAATCATATTAAAAATGATTCACTCATGAAAACATCAGAGGTGCGAGACCCGGGATTTGAACCTAACCCTTCACTCGGTTTCCCGTCAGCGTTACCACTGGGCTACCACAGCCTGTTTTATATAACATGCATAAACAATTTATTAATATTTAATTTAATTAATAATATTGTATAATAACAAAACAAAAGGTTAACTCACTTTCCATAATTTGATAGTCTTGTCATTAGTTGATAGAAGGAAGTGTGCTTGATTCTTTCGCTTGAGCCATCTTATTTTATTAATTTTCTCTTCTATTTCCAATGATTTAAGATAATCGAACTCCGGCTCATGAGATTGGAACGTCGAGTAAACGTTGTATTCTCCCTTTTTGGGCACACATTGTTTCGATGCTGGATCTCTCTGAAAATTATGAGAAAAACATAAATAAATTTAATAATTAGTTTATTTATTAATATATATTTTATATAATTAAAATACATCTTTTTATACATTTAAGTTATAGGGATAAATCAGTCAAATATATCAATAAAGAGACCGTCTTAAGCGTAGTTATAATTGTCAGATCTTTACGGGAAAATATAGATAACGTTGAGCGTAGATAGTGCCCTTTTTTGATCGTTTTAGGATGCTGTTCCTAAAGGGTCCACTCATGACCCTAATAATACTGTTCCTTGTTTAAACGTGGACCGATCAAAAACTGAATAAGTACCCATCTATATATAAAAAAAATGACAAAAGAAAATATAGACTAACATATATTATATATTTTAATCTTGAAAATTCTCTACCTGAAATATAACAACTCGTCCACCTTTGTCCCCGGTAGCTAACAATTCACCATCGTGGTTGAACTCTACGCATGATATCAGATCAGCCTCTGTGACGTCATCCTCTAGAGTACCCTTCACCTGACTGAAACACCATGTCGTCTCCCCACCATTGCCTGTGAAAGAGGGATTTGATATGTATAGGAACTAGATTCCTATGCATAACCTTGAATTTCTAGTCCTGAATATAATAAATATTTAATATTAATAATTAATATATATAAATAATTATAAGTAATTATTATAAAAACAATGTTAAAAAAAGATTTTGTATGAAACAAACATTTACACTGTTTTTACGTTCTTTGATTTATATAGTTCTGGGTGTGAATTACCATAGAAAAATGTACATAATCCCATCTTAGTAATCATTTTTGTTTTTTTATATTGGCATAAGAAGCAAATTCCCATGAAAATATATTAAAAAAGGTAAAAACCCAGTGTCTGGACCACATATTATCGGTGTAATCAAAAAAGAGATTTGATTAGCAGTAATCATTGCTTGGTTGCTAAATGGTACAATTAAGACCTAACATTCGCCTTCTACATTCTGCAAACAAGATTCCATTGGTATATGTATGTTTTTGCTGTGCTTTTAAATGATTCCAAAAGAAGTAATTAAAGCCAAGATGTAAGTACATAGTTATTAGATCTATAATAATTAATCATATATTATGGGTTCAAATAAAATTTAAATCCAATTAAAAAATAATAAAGAAAATATTGCCATATAGAAAAATCTCTAAATGCCTTAAAATATAAAAGATTGAAAATCATTAATACTCTTTCGTCGTACAATCTGTTTCTCAAGAATAATATACATATCTACACTGATATTATAAAGAGGTAAAGTGTGTAAGTTTGTTTGTAATGGATAAACTAAAAATCCCCAGAACCGATTTAAACGAAAATTGGTATTACAATAGTTTGAGACCTTGGGAAGGACATAGGTTAATTTTGTTTCCGAAAATCATCCCTTAAGGGAATGAAAAGGGGGTTGAAAATTCTTTAAGGGGAACCGATCATTTCTCAAGTAAGGAAAATAAAACTAGTCTATCTATTCCATACTAACCGTTAAAACGTACCTAGGAACGAACCCGAGCAAAGCGAGGGTGAGTCGCTAGCTTTCAATAAAATTGCTTCAAAATTGACTTCGAATTCAGAGATAAAACTCCAAACCCTTTAATCATTTAAATATTGTCAGTTTGTTATTATTTATACAAATGTTATTCAAAAAGCAGTAGTTAGTACCAATACACAAGTTAATGAAAAGACGAAATATTAACAGATTAGAAAAGAAATACGGAAATGCAATGTACTCTACAGATGGACTACAAAATAGATAAAAAACATGACGGTTCTCGCAAAAGTTCTCAGGTTTTATTATATGTGCAAAAATTGCAGTACACTTAATGTTGCCCTCTACATACACTACCAAGACCTACAAATATGTCATTTTTGATACTCTTAAAACTAAACACCCAACAATTCTTACTTTGCAGCAAAATTAAAGTCTACAGATATCATTAAAACATACATCTGTATAATTGATAGTAATAAATGTAACTAAAATAATATTTTATAAAATAATTTACTGTAGAACTAATACAGCGGTACCCAATTGTTTTTTGGGCTACGGAACCCTAATTGATCATAATTTTTTATTAGACCTCCATTTTGATAATAACTTAACTGATTGTCTTGTAGTTAGAATACTTTCTTGTTTGACTTAAAAGAACAAAATTTTATATGTAGAACCCCAAAACACTTAAATATTTATTGTACCAAAAATATAATCAACCAAAAAATATTATAAATAAATATAATCTAGAACTATGTATTTAATATGGTGAATGATTTTTTTTTACATATTTATAATATCACTAAAATTAAGCTTTCATGCCTGTCGTTTTATTTAACTCTTGGATGGAACTTGGAACCCCTGTGACTCCTCCACGGAGCACTAGGGTTCCGTAGACCACCATTTGGGAACCGTTGAATTCTAATTTACTTCTATAATTTTATTTACACTAAATTCAATACTAAGTATTACATGCCCATGTACACTATAAAGTTTGAAAGTCTAATCATTTAGTGATATGTACATACAATCACAAGTAGTATTCCAATGCAGACGGCAAGACTGCTGCCTCCAATTGGCAAAATTCTCTTGAGTTCGGACACGGTTATTAGAATGCCAGGGCACTTCCTTCTTCTTTAACATCACTATTATTTTCCTTAAATATTCTAATAATTAATATACTCATTAAGGACGAGACACATTGTCACTCAAACATGCCTGAATCGCAAGTGTAAGAACAAAAAGCTTTTGAAACCTGTTTGTAAAATGAGTGAAATGCTATACTTTTCAATAGGATGCTGTAATGTAACCTAATAGTTCTTTTGATGAGTCAAGAACAAAATAAACCTGTCCGAACAAGTACTTAGGCAGGTACTTGATAGGTACATACTATGTGTAGTTACTTGTGGTCGCAATATAAATAGACTGAATGTCAGCAACAATTGTTTTTTATTATTGCTTAGAGGCCTTACATACCTTGCTTCTTACTTTAATATTTGCCATAAACATTGAAGTTAAATTTGATAAGAAACACTTAATTTTATTATCCAATTTTTTCTTTATACAATCATTGTAAATCATAATTTATGTACACTTTAATACAGATTTCATACTATACTAGTACAAATACCCCATGCAGTACAAATAAATTGGGCTACCTTATTAATGTAATGATTGTTGTGAAAATTGAAATGTCTGTTAGTTATGTCAAAATAACAGCTTTTTACTAAATGCATATGAAAGTATGTATGGTACTAATAAGAAAAACACAATTTTCTATCTCTATTTAAATAGTCTATTTGTTCCGGCTAATCTCTGAAATGGCTGAACCGATTTTGAAGGGACTTTAACTGGCATGCTTATGTTATAAAGGAGTAACTTAGGCTACTTTTATATAGATTCACTATACTATATAGATTCACTATGTAATATATATCAAAGCTACATTTGTACATAATAATAGATATTTATTGAAAGAAATCTGTGTCAAATGTAACTTGCATCCCATAAAGGAAACTTTCAGGATAAAAGGCCACAAGAATAAAAAAGGCAAAACTCTGGCATAGAGCCAAGTATAATGGTGCATAAAACAGACTGTAATCCTTTGCCTAGCAACATGCTGATTAAAAAATCTTAGATTAAAAATAGGAATCTTTGTAGATCGTACTATTTCACATCTGTGTAGAAAAATTCTAATGATTTTTCTTGTAATGTTCATTTGTAGATATTAGTTCATATATGTATTTCTCATTTTAACACCTATTCTAGTTTTACTTGTTACTTAGGTATGTTTAACTTTTTTTTAATCGGAACCATATTTCTTTTCTAAAATACATGTAGCCTAAGTTACTCCTTATAACATCAGCTATCTACCAGCGAAAATCCAGTTAACATCAGTCCAGCAGTTTTGAAGATTAGCTGGAAAAAACTTTTGTGTTTTTCTTTTATGTATTATTATTTCAAAAAAGAGTGTGTCATACTATTTTTATCAGTTTCATAAAAATTTAAATAAAAAATGGGTAAATTTCATTCAATTGTATACAAAAGATAATGTCTACATCTACTTTAACTAATCCTAAGTAATTCTACACACTAACATTCAGCTTTGTTATCTGACATAACATCATTTTTTGAATTGCCATAGCTAAAATTAAACTAAACTTATTATAATACTAGCGACTCACCCTCGCTACGCTTAGAGTTCGTCCCTAACAAAAACAATCTATCCCACAGGAACCATACATTTTTCTAGGATAAAAAGTAACCATGTGCTATTCCAAACTATAATCTATCTCTGTGCCAAATTTCATCCAGATCCATTAAGCCATTCTGGCATGAAAGGCCATGAGTTATATAGAAACAAACATCTATCCATCCTCACAAATGTTTACATTTAGAATATTAGTAGGATATGCAATACCAACTTCAAAATTATAAACTGGCTTATATTATAGACAATGGCTTATATTTAAGTAAAGATAAAAAATACGCTTTCATTTATAGCTAGTGATGACTTTAATTGATCTATAAATTTTCTACCATATCATTTTGTTTATAATAATTTGACCTCTATCTGAACTATGCAGTTAAACATCAATATGTAACAATAAAGTTATGTTATTAATATAATATGTTTACCCACTATACACATACTAGAAAAAAACCATAATACTACATGTGTGTTAAAGAAAGAACAAAAAACCATTTTCATCTATTTCTTATGACTTGGTATCAACTTGGTAAATTGTACTCTAGAAAAATAGTAGGTAGTACATTTTGAGTATCACAAATAAAAGGTACCTTTAGTTAATTAAGCAATGATGGCATCAACATTCATAGAAATCCAATAATTTGATTTATTAATAAAACTTTTCTATAAACTACCTCAACCTATATAGGAAATATTATTTCTCCCCAAAACTTATGATTCTTATATATAGATCAATGTAGAATGGGCAGAGAAACTTCGCATTTTAAATATTATTGAGATTGCCACAATTGATCACATCTGTTGTCATTCGAATACAAATAATTAAATGTAACCAAATATGTGTAACATATTAGTCCATCGATATCACGTTCGTGAAGTCTTCAATGATCAAATGCAAAAACAGGTTTCACTGATGCGGGTATATAAAAAAGTACTCTCACCTGTATAAAGCCTCATTTCCAGAGGAATTCCTTAACACGCTAAAATATAACTGCTTGGAAATGTTTCAATGATAATCCTAATGGCAAATATCTGTAAACCATAGCGGTCTGACCTTCGATTCGCGATCAACAAATGCAATCATCTGTTCACACAAACAATTATTGTTTTATGCAGTATTATGAGCTCTGAACGTAAATGTAGATTTAAACAACCCGTAAAACATTTGCGAGAACCTTCTTTCCACTACATACTTGCCGTAACAGCGAAAAAGGGCCAAATGTTAAGTGTTAGAACTATCGGCTTTAGACAATAACCAAACACTTCCCACTCAAAAATACATCATCACTATATGTAAACACTAGAAACTAAAAACCACACAAGTACAAGAACATTGCATTTACCGTCGGAGTTTGAACGATAAAACATCTTCGACTTATTGCGATTTCCGATTCCGATTTCGCCCTTCTCTCGGGCGCTAAAAGTCAGCACTTACCGGCCATGACAAAGCCCAGCACAAAAACTTTAAGAAGTTCAATAGTTTTAGTACACAATCACTTCAGTATATTGCTAAAACATTACACAGAATTGCCGATGAAAACTGATTAAAATCATTTCAACGTTACATCGGTAAAAAGCAATGGCGCTCAGAAAATTCAGAAATACATACAATAATTACTGCAGAGATCAGTGTTGCCGCGCTAAAGCTAAAATTTTCTACTATTTCTAATTTTAAAATTACTGCTTGACATTTGTATCCAGTTTTATTAATTTACTTTATATATTTTATGAATAAATTCAAAGATAAATAGTATATGTATTATTAATAATAACGTAAAAAGTACTTGAAAAACTATAACACAAAATAAATTAATTACTTAGTATGTAAAAAGTATATAATTCGAAATTTTCATTATTATAAGACATTACATTTTACCTAATAAGATGTCTTTTATAATATAAGTATAAAATAACAAAAAAAAATTATTGTATGGAACCTCATAGTAATAAAAAATAAATCCGCTTACATATGATTTTATTAGTGTTATATCACTAATTTTTCTCCTTAATTAGTAATTTATACATAAGATGGCAAGAAAAGTAAATATTACGTCAAAATATTAAAGAGCTTGTCGCAAAGTAGTCACGCAAAAGCGCGCATTCCAATGTCGCAATGCTGCCATCTGTTGTTATATTGAGACAATAAGAACTGCTTTACTACTTTATAATTGAACGGTTAATTTATGAAATGTATTTGAGAATTGAGAAGTTGTAATATTGTATTCCGTTGAGTAGTAATTATCATTCTTAAAAATGTTTCTTAACAATATTTTTATGCATAAAGTTCATTTTACCTACAAATATCAAATCATTTTTTTTTATATTTTGCTAGATATTTGTTTGTTTAACCTAATTTATCAAAATTTTGAAATACACACGTAAGAAATTAAGGTTTGGTATGGTGATTTAAGGGACTTTTTCTATACATATTATTTTCTAATGTCTAAGTTAGGTAGGTGGTAAGTACTTATTTAATATGAATAATTTCGTATCCTAATATAATTATGTTAGTTATCTAATCGACATGATGGTTTGACTTATACATTATTCATAACTTTTTTATTAACTTGGTTGTGTTACCTACATAAATTGTTATCTTTTTGGAACAAAATGATAATGAAAAACTAATCATGAAGTAGGTTTCATATATTTACATACATATATGAATTTAGTTAATAAGTATCTTTCATATCTTTCATTAAGTAGGTATATCAGTTTTTTTTTTTAATTTTTAATTAAAAATATTGTCTAAACACAAAAAAGTTCCATCAAAATTGTCTATCAGTTTTGAAGAGCGATCAAACAAAAAACCTTAAAATACTATTTACATTTTAAGCAATTCAGAAAATTATTATTTAATGCCATTTCGTACTATATCTATACTTATTATAAAAATAAGTCCCCCGGCCGCGTCTTTCTGTCCTCCTGTCTGTCCTCCTGTCTGTCTGTACGCGATAAACTCGAAAACTACTGAACGGATTTTTATACGGTTTTCAACAATAGAAAGAGTAATTCTTGAGGAAGGTTTAGGTATATAATTTATTATGCTTTTATGTAAATTAGCTGAAATACGGCGACAAATGTTGAAGAGGTCGCAAAAAATCTCGCCAAATGGGAACTTTCCACGCGAACGCCGCGTAAACTAGCAAAGATACAGTTAAGTAATGTACTAGAGAATTCAAAATCTATAAAAATGCTACAAAAAAGTCCGCGATAGCATATCTCTATCTCTTACGGTTGACTTACAATAACCACTTTTATGTTAACATTTTTAATTAAAAACATTACGTTATTTTCAAAGTTATTTTCTTTAGTTCGGTATTAATCCTTATCCAAATGAATATTTTAGTTAGCTTAGTCATTTAATGCAGATTAAAATTGCTCTTTACACTAAATCAATCAGATGAATAGTTTTTGAGATATCGTTGTTAGAAGTAATTAGTAGCGAAACATTTTTAATGCTTGGCGAGCATTGAGATGCCTACGGCGAGTCCATCCCCTCTGCCCCGCATCGCTCGACCGCCTGCTCAAGCTATATAAACCGGGCGATGTAGCGCGCGATCCTAGGATACTTTTTACCGCGGGAAAATATCTTATTTCTGAGGAAAAATACAAAAACTGCAATGTAAGAGTATACTAATATGTAACACCTAAGAATTTAGTTTTTGGTCATCTGAACGCGGGCGGAGCCGCGGGCAATGCTAGTTTAAAATAATATTGCTCTTAATCTATATATATAATAAAATTGTAACTGAGCCGAATCTGTAGGTACATTAAATATTTTTTGGAAAATCTTATTGAAATAGATATTATTATCGATAGAGGCCGAATCTATAGTTTTTAGAATTTTTGTCTCTGTCTGTTTGTCTCTCTGTCTGTCTGTCTGTCTGTTACCGCATCACAGAAAAACCACTGGAGGGATTGTGATGAAATTTGGTATGGTGATAGCTGGTCATCCGGGTCAACATATAGGATACTTTTTACCGCGGGAAAATATCTCATTTCTGAGAAAAAGTACAAAAACTGCAGATCTAAAAATTTGGTTTTTGGTCATCTGAACGCGGGCGGAGCCGCGGGCAATGCTAATAACCACTAAGATTTGAAAAACATTGCTTACCACTTTTATTTCCATGGTCGAAAATAACACTTAATTTTTGAAGACTATTTTGCCTAGCTTCAGCGAAGAGCCGTCTTTTATTTTTGGGTGATGGCTGCATTGCTAGCGGAGATACCACCATAGTTGTGGTCGCCATGACTTACACCATGACCATCGAACAACCTAAAACAAAAAAGTTAACTATTGCAAACGATAGAATGCGCTCCATATCGCTGTTTAAACGATAAAGTTGCCCTTTGAATATTCATGCCCTTTAATTATTCTGTTAGGTACTATTTTTTGTAAATATACTTCTCTTTTGGGTGTGCTATAAAATATTATTTCAAGATTTTTTACATTTTAAGACTTCATGTACTTAAATTATAAGTATTAATATATATTCAAAGTTAGTATTAATAAATATTTATTTACTGTCATTTGGACAAGTCACTAATTTAGTAAACAAAATTTGTTTTGTTATCGTGAGTGACTCGTTTTTAGCAGATCTATGTGAAAAGGAGTTAGTTGTAGCAAATATTATTATTACATTTATTAGAGATTCACGACTGAACGATATTTAGTTAAGTTCAGATATGTATATGTATATACCAGCCCAGCGGAGATAAAAATGCTCTGCTGGGATAGTGGCGTGACGCGCTTAGATAGAGTGCGAAACAAATATGTGAGGGGATCCTTCAAAATGTCGCCGATGACGGAGAAACTCAAAGAGTAGAAGAAAAGAAGAGAAGAATTTTCAGCAATGATTATGTTAGACGAACAATGGTACCTATATATATAAATTAAAGTAGTAAGTTCATTTATATTATCCCAAATGAAACATTTTAATTGCAACAATGTCTGTGAATTGGTTAATGGAACTCAATGAGAACCGATTCAGACCGATTTTGTGTAATTTAATGCGGATTTCTTGATTGGTGTGTATGTTTATTACTGGTTGGTTGAAATTGTAACCGTTTTTAAAAATGCAAAACTATCATATAAAACTTTTCACATCTCACTTCCTAATTGCCAGACAATGCACAGCCCGAAGCCGTTGGGTTTTGCAGCATGATATTTTGAACATCATTATACTGTAAACAAAGTGCAGAGCATTAGTCCCTCCACGACCGCGGACGCGTCGGCGTTACAGTTAACAATAGATTTCTTAGAAATTTAATTAATTTCTTAGATATTTGCCTGGAGGTGAAGGATTTTTTTAATATCTCCTAATGGGGTCTTAAATATGGGATGGCTCGAGTTTGTGTGAGAGTTGGTCAGTCTTGAAGTTAGAATCATTTTTAGGTTAGAATTATTGCTCATTGCTCAAGAAGCTCGTATCAATATATTTCTTGTAATTATAAAATACAAAAGGATAAGATGTTCATTAATACTAGAATATTTAGCATTCACTCCTACCATTTGCCAATAAGAAAATAAAGGCTGTATTAATATAGAAAAAGAGCAAAAGGCATTATTGGTAGAAATTTAAAAAAATCCCCTACGCATTTTCACATTTTGCAATGTATGACACGGATATAAAGCTATACTAACATTATAAAGAGGTTTGTGAGATTTGAGTTTGTGACGTTGTAGGGGGTAATCTCTGGATCTACTAAACCGATTTAGATGAAATTTGGTAACAAGGTAGTTTGAGGCCCTAGAAAGTATACTTTCTATAAAAATAAAAATTACGTGAGCGTGATCTTTTTGATGACCATTAATTAGCAAAAGAATCCAATAAACACTTTTCCATTTTATAATGCTGTATTTCATTTTAAATATGCCTATGCGTTACTTCAGATCATAAATTATGGTAAACTAAATTTCGACCAAATCCGTCCAACAGTTGCAACTTGAAGGAATAACAAACATACACACATACAAACTTTTACATCGCAGTAGCCCAACAACTACATTTGCTAAATATATATTTTAGTTTCTACCGAATTTAAATATCCATCAAAAAGGTATGTTTAATGAGACCATTGCCATTATACACTAACTAGTTGCTATACGACGATACCAGATAACACTGCTTCAGTGTTATTTGATGCTGCGTTAATCATTCCGCTTATTCAATTAAAAATTAGGTATATTTTGCATATATATATTCAACTCCTTTAGGCTATAGTCCACCACGTTGACCAAGTGCACATTGGTGGACTTTGCTAGATTCTCTCAGACATACAGGTTACCTCTCGATGTTTTTCTTCCCCACGAGGCAAATGTAATCTTGTTGCAAATCATTCACATGATAATATCAGTGCGAGAT